CTCCACCCCACCACTGCATTTCGGGATACATATATAAAAGAAACTTAATACAATAATATGGGTAACTAATCAAAAATAATTTACTCTCATATTTCAACATTAAACTCTATTATTTTATATATATACTATAGATGCAGCTGTATTTTTTACTATACGGCGAAGTAAGTTCTGCAAAAATTAATTGGATGCTACAAATACTGAAAAGACAACGGTCCGTCAAATTTCTGTACTTAACATATAAATTATTGGTATGATGTGTTTCAAGAGAATTTGGAATTTACACTGAGTGTTGTGTGAGATTTATGTTAAATGAAAAATGTAAAATGTTAATGTTAAATGTAAATGTTAAATAAGATTCACAAGTAAATCTTAATGAACGAAACGGGAGCATTGAATCCTGAAACCCCAAGAAATCAGAAATCGTACAATCCTGTAATAATGGACTAATATTACTAACTAGTACAACTGAAAATTATAATATAAAATAAAATATACCTTATATAATAAATACTTTCGCAATTCACAACGGAAAGGATTTATATAATACCATTTCATTTTGAATTTGAAATATTCAAACATCATCAGTTTGAGTACTGTTTCAATTAATAAGTTTATATAATATTTGTTAGAATTAATTGTTGGTAAATATCAAAACTTTCATGTCGTGAACATTTTATAAACTTATTTGTCTTATTTAATAGCTTTTGAACTTTTAACCATAACCATTATGGTAATTCAATCAACCATCATGTATCAATTTTGGGTGTGTGAGCCATAAAATAGTACTTCCTGTGAGTGTGGAAACGATAATATTTATGTTACATATAAAGCAAGTTTTGCAAATATAAATTAAAATGCAAATACTTTCTTAGGGCCTTATTATACAGGGATTCATGGTCATTTCTTTATTTGAATTGTGCTTTTCACAATAAGAATAATATAAAATTTTCATTTGAATTTTTTCATGGTCATGCCGTTTGATCATGACCAAAAGGAGTGTAACCAGTCGTCATATGACTGACTGCATAACCCTTAGGGTACAGAGAACCACGAAATATTGAAAAGTTATTTGTACATAATATTATCGTATTGAAAGGCGGCTTAGAGGCTAACTTAGTTATAGTGAAATCAGAAAATATAAACGACAGAACACAGAAAAAGTGACAAAATACATCACAACACAAGTTCAAACCAACCATCAAATACTTTGCGCACAAAGACATAAAATGCAATAGCTCAATGTTTGTATCTGTTCCAATAAAATAAAAAAACCGCGTATTAGTGAACAAAGCACTTTTACTCAATATTATCTGTGACCTCTTCCTGACGAAATACTCGTATATATTGCACTTGATTTAAGAAAGTGCAATTCTGAATTCGTCTTCTCATCAACAGAATTGAATAATCGAACAATGGAACATAGGAACAAAACGATATGTCTTTCATATATCTTTGTCAGAACTGATTGTATTTTTGAATAAGTCAAATCTATTTATTTAAAAGCATTAATATATTCAAGAGCTAAGCTTACGTACAACTAACTTAATATTTACTAATCGCATTAAGTGATTATAAATATCTTTTAAAAAGGTTAGTACAGTAACGCTCGGGACATATCGTCCAAATAAGTACACGAATGTAACTATTTGGATAGCAGACTATACATAATTAGTGTTTGAATTTCTGGTCATCTGGGTAAATAGGAGTCTAACCAACTCATACAAATAAGTTGATTAGACTTGATGTGTTTTTAATATGTCCACCCTTATCACTTCCATAGATCAAATACACATTAACCTGGAGGAGTCATTACTAAACGTCATTTTTTTGCACTGCCTTAGCTTATCTAAAACTATATGTAGATAATCAGACTTTCATACTAGAATGCACTCTAATAAAAGAAAGGATCAAGTATAGTACCTTTGTTTACAATACTTTCGTCGAGTTAGAAGACCCACTCAATTCTCCTATCCAAATTTATAAGAAATGAGGAACCTAAAAGTTCTCCTAGTTAACTTTCTTGATATCAGTGAGTTAATAGTTGATTCGGCAATATGAGTTGATCACTTCAAAGTTCACCTACATTTTATAGCAGTGAATAACAGTAGAATATTTTCTATTTCTTTTATCTTTTACATATTCTAGATGGATACAAAGGTGAAGAGAAACATATCAAGTAGTTTTTTGATTCTCCACTTCAATTTGCTTGTGGCATTGACTGATTTCTATTCTTCTATATATAAGTTATTTAAAACTGTTTCCCAATCTCAAGAGTTATGATGATCAGCAGTTACTCAATTAGTCTGATTGGTCTGGCTTGTCCATCTTCATAACAAGACTAGAAAATACCCTAATTAGACAAGTTAAGAAATGAAATACGAATTCCAATTAAGAAATAGAAAAGAGGACAAAAGTTCTGTTATTACTACTTAATGTTTGTTTATTTTATTATTAAAAATTCGGATTCGTTGGCAGCAGTATTTTATCACTCATAGTGAGTACTTTATCTGCTACAGTGCTAAAGCATTTCTTAACTAAAGAATTTTTTTTTTTTTTTAAAACATACATTTATTTATTGCATCTTCTCTTAAAATGAGACTAACAATAAGTTGTAAAATCTTATAACTAATTACATAATGTTACAAATTTTTATTTTAACTATACATTGTATAAAATAAAATAAAATAAAATAAAATAAGTAAACCTTATATCACGAACCTCACTTAGATTAATGGGTTAAATTTCATTGGAGTGAATGTTAGGTGGTTTCTTAAGAAAGTGATTCAACTTTAACAGATTACTAAAAAGAAAGGTGCGGTTTTTACTTCAAGCTGTTGAGCTGTTGAATATTAATTAACGGCTGGACGGTCAGCTCTTTTTAGGCGGGAAGTAATGGATAGAAGTGCGAGATTTCTTGCTAAGGGATTAACATGCTCTGTTAGCCTTTTATTGTATTTTTTTCTTATATTGTCAAATTCAGCTTTAACTAGGGGAATTTGTAGATCTCGGTGTATACTTTCATTCCTAATATACCATGGGGCACCAGTGATAATTCTTAGTATTTTTGACTGAGCTCTTTGTATAATTTCAATATTTGAAGCACTAGCATTGCCAAATAGCTGGATACCATAAGTCCATATTGGTTTAATGATGCTGTTATACAAGGTTACTTTATACTCTAGGCACAGCGAAGATCTGCTATTAATGAGCCAATGCAACTTAGAGGCTTGGAGCTTCATCTGAATTTTTTTTGGCTTCAATATGTTTGCGCCAAGTTAGTCGTCTGTCTAGGTGGATACCTAAGTACGTTATATTATCTGCTTGTAGTATGGGAATGTTGTTTAATAAAATTGTTGGAGATGTACTCCGATTTAAGGTAAAAATGACGTGTCTATATTTTACTTCGTTAATTTTAATTCGCCATTTTGACAACCATTTCTCCACCCGATATAAGTGAGATTGAAGTTGGTTTGAAGCTAGCACAGCGTTTCTGTTTCGGCATAAAATTGCCGTATCATCGGCAAACGCTGTGGTGATAACTGAACTACTTATCGGGATATCAGATGTGTAAAGTACATACAATATAGGGCCAAGAACACTTCCTTGTGGAACGCCAGCTTCTATTGGGAAATTATTAGAAGTATATGATTTGCATTTCACTTTAAAGCTTCTATTATGCAGACACGATTCTAGAATTGAGTGGACATTTGCAGGTAATGAACAGCGTATCTCATATATGAGTCCATTATGCCATACTTTATCAAATGCTTGTTTAACATCGAGGAATACCGCGGAACAATATTCTCCGAGCTCAAAGAATCAATTAAAGAATTGGCTTACTGATATCAATTTTTAGTTATTTTAGCACTGGAACTAATGTAGAATCCATCTTGAGTAAATAACGAAAGAATGTTGCAATAACAAGTTAATCAAAACAGCTGTTCGTGATATACAATAGTCTCCAGACAACTGTATATAGCCGTAAACAATTGCAATACAAATGAGCTTGCGAATCTCCTACTAAACTAAATATGACATATCTTACGACATGCTATACCATATCCGTTCTACGTCGTACATTTGTCGATGCACACACCTTGTTTCATCGTCGTACGTTTATAACGAAAGGGTTTTGAAAATTTTCAATCAGTTTTCGTCATTTTTCGTTAATACAACGAATCGGATTGCACTTAACCACAATCCCACAAACCTCCTGTTACCAACACTTTTCTATTTATAATTATAAAAATATTTAATTTATTATCGTGTTTAATTATTCTCATTTAAGGACAATATCTTACAAAGACTGTATGAATAATGTTTCAGTGTGACAAAAATATCAGACAGTCAGACAGTCAGATTTTCATTTTCTAAGTCATAATTTGTCACTCTCTTTAAAAAATGAATTTATAAGATCTGAATAATAATCAAGTTTTCATCGATATTTCTTGAAACTGTTTGTATTTTGAACTAGTAAAATTGAACGAAAACTAATTCATTTAAAAATTTTTTCTTTTAGTTAAGCTCAAAATTTAAGTTAAAAATATTTGGAAAAAATGTGAAAAATTCAAGTCTTTGTAAAATTTTCAATACGTTTCGCACAAAATATTGGAGTCAAAATTCATATAAAAGTTATACGTTAAGTGGATTTTTATGGAAGGAACGTAAGGGTTTCCATTCTTAAATTTGGCTGCTGTACTGAAGTACAAACATTTTTCATATAAGGTAAGTTGTTGAAGTTAATCATTCATTCTAGAGATCTTTTCTATTCTGAATGGTTTTAGTAAGGATTACTTGAAATAGCTTCAGTGATGGAGAAAATAGCGAATAAAGAAATAATAACGCGTCAAACAAAGCAAAAAAAATAAAAATGAGAAAATCAATTAAATTCTTAGAAATATAATGAGCAGAGTCTGTGTCGATGTCGATGTAAGTTCCTTGATTTATTTTATTTGTCATATTTTGAAACTTCCATTTCACCGTTTTTAAAATAAAAGTTTTTCGTAGATAACCTCACTGCTGATTTTGCATGATTGTTGGGAATATAAATAAACTATTTTATTAAAATTTTTTATTTTATAAGATTATATAAAATTATAATACAGAAAAGGAAAGAGGAATATATATAAAATATATGTAAGTAGTTACAATATAAAAATAGTGAAACTGAAATATTTTACTGTAATTTACTTGGAAAGATAAATTGAAACAATCATAAATAAATGAAAATGACTACGACTATCCCAATAGCAAATATTCTACTACGACTATAACACATCGACATCCACATCCACATCCACATCCACTTTATACAGATTATGTATTCTGATGAATCGGAACCCATATTATTAAAGACAAATTCACTCAAAACCACTAAATATTACACATTCCTCACATCCACGAGTATGAAAATCATCATCAAATAAAACTCTCGTCTTCATTTTATGTCTGGATAGTATCCGGATTTGATCAACTGTCACAAAATTTCACAGAAATTACTCGCAACTCTCAAAAACACACATGTACAACTATTTTAATATTTAATTCTCTTAATGAGTCAACACATGAATTTTAAATAATTATTTATTTTTATTTATCAGTCAATGCGCATGAAGAGGCGGGATCACGTTGATAAAAATATATCTAAAAGTAAACTTGTAAACCTCACCAATTCAACATTATTTTTTAAAGAAAATTGGATAATCACTAATTTGAGAAACTAAAATCGAAAATCGAAAATCGAAAATCGAAATATATTGCAAATATACACTGAGAGATATTATTGTGTTTATTAAACTTTATTTAAC